ATGGCTTTAGATTACTCTGTATCCAAATACAGATTCTACGGGAATTTGAGTGCTGTTCAGGTAATATGCCTTTTTGCTGTCAGCCATAGGGTAGTTCGTTAGACGCTAGTGGAGGTCGACAAACTTGCACATTGAAATCTAGGATCCCTCTTTTGGACCACATTTCCAGTCTGTACAGATTATTTCGCAAAGCTCCCCGATCGTTTGAACCCTGAATGACTTGCCAGAGCTTAACTTCGTCGGTGAACATGATCTTAGCGCAGTCCAGTTCTTGAAGTCTGTTCTTAACATAAACGCCGTAGAGTAAATGACAGAGAAGGGAGCCTTGAGGAACGCCAATAACTACGTTCACTCAGTCTGTTTCATCCTCTCTGATACAAAGGCACTGTTTTCGACCGACCAAAAGTCTTCCTCCAGTTCATAAGTTTCCCCTTGACGTCAAGGACGCTCAGTTTAGGTGAAAGACGTCGATGGAGCACACTATCAAACTTCTATGAACGGAGTTGTAATGCCCTAACGAATGAGCTTCAGAATGTGTTACAAGGGGCAGTGAGCGTTTCTCCCACAGCCTTGACGTCCTTGCGCATGCTTGGCCGAATGGACTTTTCTACAACGACTACTGCTCGTGTGCAATAGTGATGACTAGGTGTGGAGGATAAGACTTGGCGACAGGTTGAAAAAGACGACCCAGTAGCATCATGGGGGATTGCGCTCTCTCGGATAATTAGTGGAAAATCTAAACGAACCAGTCGTATGCTCGTTACCGGGGCAGTCTACGCGGAGGTGTTCAGCGGCCATATCGAATAGCCCTGTCTCTTACTGTGTCTACAGTCTCCTCATGTTTGATTGATGGGGTAGCAAACTGTCCTGAAATTGGCTGATTTCCTGCACTACTCTATTCATAAATTGTTCTCTGAATGGTTGTGGAAAATAAGGAAATATTTTATCTCAGGGTAGCTGCTTTAACTTTCCTACCTGTACATGTGAAAAGTAGCCCCCACCTAAATGTGTATCCGGCCTCAATCCAAAAGGCTTGGCCGTGGAAACTAGGGGTCCAATTTTGGAGATATCTCCTCTCCTATCTAGTCTGCATAGCCCGGATTTTCATTTAAAACTTCGAACTGTTAGGTCTCCCGACGTCGTCTTGCATTATCATCTCGATTTTAAGCTGGATAAATGTCCTCTGAGCCTTCAGCCCCTCCTTCGCTGTGCCACAGAATCGTTGAAGGTTGTTGTTGTTGTACTAGCTTACTCCCTTAACCTAGTACAACAA